GAGGGATTCGGGGCGGGTCCTGTCATGTAATCTGTCAAGTATTGAACACAAGACTTCAGCGTGCAGATTGAACATAGGAAATAGGTGCCCATTAAATTTGAAAAGATCATAACCAGTTTTCAGACAGTGTTATACCTTCTGATAATAATCCATGCTTTATTTGCAGCTGCAGAGGAAGATTCCAGATCACGATAAGAACATCATTTTAAACAGAGGCCTGGATTTGTATGAAAAAGGCTTTGCATATGATGATGAGCCACTCTATCAATGCCATCAATACAAGAAGTGAAACGTATATCAATACAAGAAGTGTAACAAAAATGATGATACACAGGGTCAAAGGGCATAATTTTTATGAACTGAAGTGAAACGTATATCAATACAAGAAGTTTTACATAAATTACCACATGTTGCAGTGTCACACATGAAAATTCCAAGTTAATAAACAGAGTTCAAGACTATTATGGAAAAAAGCAGTGTAACTGACTGGAACAAGAGTGGTCAGATAAGAGAAGAAACAAAAAGGAGCAAAATAAATAAAAGCATACCATAAATGCAAACCTGTTCCACATTACTAGTTAGACCTCCACCCAATGATGAAAACTTTCCAATATCTTCTAACCCATGCTGATCAATGGATTTCATACGAACAACAGTCATAGAGTTCACCCTAATTTGGGATATAAGTATGACAATCTGCAAAAACAGGAGAATGGAACCTTATATAATAGGTGACAATCAAGGCATGAAATCTAAATTGCTATTGAGATATAGATTGTCCAAGTATATGCAGATGTCAGAAAAGAGGTTAACATCCATTGCAATCTCTCACCTGTTAACATAATTTGATTATAACAATGAACATATTTAAGATTTTCATCCTTGCTACACAAGTTGACTTTCAAAGTGACTCTATTATGAGAAACTTGTAACAAAGTATCACACTGACTCTCTAACAAAATAGGACGCACATGAAACTTTGTATGCAAGTAGATGAGAGAATGACCACTTAGATGAAAAACATGATTCTTATATGTCAATATACAGCATTGTCCTACAAAAATGATAATCTATGGATTTGCATATATGGGCGTGGTAACCACCCTGCAAGGGCAGATCCAGGAAGTCGTTTCATCATTGCTTAACCCTCTTGTTTCTTACACATAATTCACCAAAGGTGTAACCCTGACTCTGCGTGTGTGCATGCGCGAGAGAGAGAGAGAGAGAGAGAGAGAGAGAGAGAGAGTCAACCTGTGAAATAGAGAACCCATTTATTGGTAATTCAAAATCATCGGAATATTGAAGACAATATGATAATATAGCCGAATATATATGTAATTCCAAATTTCTTTCCGGAGGCATTTTTGAGTAATGGTGCGAAAGATCCTACAAGAAAAACAAGAAAAATATACAGGTCCTTAGCTACAAGACATCTATTTATGAAATAGTGAGACAGTCAACTGAAATGAAAATTAGTATAGTAGAAAATATAGTCACTATATGTACCAAAATTTCTCTGAGATTAAAAATATATGTGGAACCTCTTCTTTTGATTATAGACTTTACTAGCACACGACCAGCCAAAACTATCTCAGAAGGCAATACTGCTGGCCAGTGTACACCTTTACATTCATGTTTATGTTCAGGAATGTGCTCAGTATCAGTTTCAGAATCAACATTTAAAGTGGTCTCTGCAATGTACTTTTCAAGATCAGCTGATAAATTTTCATGAATCCTTTGATTGTTTGGGTAATGCCAGGACATTGTTCCTCCTGCTCGTATACGGCATTTCTCGGAGCAATACAATGATATTGAACATGATGTACATGGGACTTTATCCGCTGGTAGCTCATTTAAGCAGTAGTGGCAATGAGTTTCCCGACAAGGCTTTAATATTATCTGCAAAGCACAGGGACAATTTATTTTAGAATCCTCAGAAGAACTGCATGTATTTCCAATGGCAATAAGAGCCTACCCTAATAATTCCTCTTCAGCAACTTGTGAAGTATTAATCAACACTCACTGAAAGGCAAAATGAAGATGGTACACCATTCTGCTTCGTTTTTTTCTTATGCCTTTTGATGACGAGAATGTAAGAAAGGAAATTAAACTGTAGGATACATATCTACTTTTAGTTTCACAATAAATTTTCCAGGGGTACATGTTCTGATTAGACTGTAAAAAGAACATCCCTTCAAAAGATCTCAGCCATCTGTATTGCACAGATATGCTAATTGAAAGGAAAAAAGGAGACAAGGCAGTGGATCACACAACAATTTAGTTTCCCAAACCATGACTATAGAGTATCAGGAATGTCTGCATAGAAGGGGAACATCTCTCTATCCAATTTGGTAGCAAAGTAATGGCGACTAACAAAACTGAAAAGAAGTACACGATAGCACATATAAAAGAAGTCTCTGTTCATACCATCGAAAAAGGGTCTTCGGTATGTACCAAGGACGCTTGAGGAAGGTCACCTGTTGAAGCCATACCCCTTCCTTTCTCTGGTGTGGCGACACATCGTAATCCCATTGGGTTCGGTTCATCTGATGGATTACAAGGTACTTTAATTAGGTTCCTTGTAGCTGGTGCCTCATTCCTTGCTGGTTCGGCCTTAGGCGGTGCAGCTACTAATGTCTTCATGCTAATATCTGGTCGTATCTTATTGCTTGGTGTTGGGGCTGGCTTTGCAAACCAGGTATTATGCTCCATATTTGAACTTTTTTTTTTCCTTTTGTGCTTAAGATTAGTCCATAGGGTAATCTTCTATTGTCATACATATGACTTGTTATTTTGTTAAACAAAATTCTTGCAACATAGGATGCCGTGGCAGACGAAATTTTCCACTGATATACATTTTAATAATGTTATGTGTGATAACATTTGGTTCCACACAATCAAACATCCTTGCAGTCAGTCCCACTTTATCTCTCAGAAATGGCACTACCTAGACACAGAGGAGCTTTCAACATTGGCTTCCAATTATGTGTTGCCATTGGAGTATTATCAGCTAACCTCATCAACTTTGGTGCCGAAAAGATCACAGGCGGCTGGGGGTGGTGAATCTCCCTATCCTTGGCAGCAGTCCCAGCCTCAATACTAACTCTAGGTGCTCTTTTACTGCCAGAAACACCCAACAGCTTAATCCAAAGCTCCAACGACCACCAAAGAGCCAAGTCAATGCTACAACGAACACGAGGATGCAAAGATGTCCAAGCAGAACTGGATGATCTCATCAAAGCAAGTGAAAATTCAAAAACCATCAAACACCCTTTAAAGAAATTGATGCAAAGTCATGGCAATTGCCATGCCATTCTTTACACAAGTGACTGGGATCAATGTCATCTCATTTTATGCGCCAGTACTATTTAGAACACTTGGTCTAAGTGAAAGCATGTCACTCTTGTCAGCTGTGATGAGCGCCGGCATGGTAGGCACCTGCGCGACATTTATATCAATGCTTATGGTGGACAAACTAGGCAGAAGAACTCTGTTTGCAATTGGGGGCATTCAAATGTTTGTGTCACAAGTTATAGTAGGGAGCATAATGGCTGCCGAGCCAGGTGACATTGGTGGAATAAGGAAAAGGTATGCATATTTGCTGATCATCTTTGTGTCTGTGTATGTAGTTGGGTTTGCTTGGTCATGGGGCCCACTAGGGTGGCTGATCCCAAGTGAGATTTTCCCACTAGAGTTTATGGCCGCAAGCCTTCAATCCTTGCGGGGGGTGCTGCATAGCTGGTGCCTCATTCCTTGCTGGTTCGGCCTTAGGCGGTGCAGCTACTAATGTCTTCATGCTAATATCTGGTCGTATCTTATTGCTTGGTGTTGGGGCTGGCTTTGCAAACCAGGTATTATGCTCCATATTTGAACTTTTTTTTTTCCTTTTGTGCTTAAGATTAGTCCATAGGGTAATCTTCTATTGTCATACATATGACTTGTTATTTTGTTAAACAAAATTCTTGCAACATAGGATGCCGTGGCAGACGTGGTTTTGCTAATCAGGTAGTGTTTTTTGCCCCTAAACCAAATGCAGGTTTTTTCTTGTTACTTTGTTGCATAATCTATTTGTTTTGTGCAGGCTGTTCCTTTGTATCTTTCGGAAATGGCACCAGCAAAACACAGAGGAGCAATTAACAATGGCTTCCAATTTAGTGTCGGCATTGGTGCTCTGTCCGCTAACCTCATCAACTACGGCACTGAAAAGATCAAAGCCGGTTGGGGTTGGCGAATCTCCCTAGCCATGGCGGCAGTCCCTGCCTCAATGCTAACACTTGGTGCATTTTTCCTTCCTGAAACACCAAAACAGTCTCATTCAGCGCAGCACAGACCACCAAAGGGCCAAGCAAATGTTGCAGCGCATCAGAGGCATCGATGATGTAGAAGCAGAGCTTGATGATCTCATCAAAGCAAACAACGTATCGAAAACTATCAAATACCCTTTCAAGAAAATCTTAGAGAGAAAGTATAGGCCTCAACTTGTCATGGCAATTGCCATGCCATTCTTTACACAAGTGACTGGGATCAATGTCATCTCATTTTATGCGCCAGTACTATTTAGAACACTTGGTCTAAGTGAAACATGTCACTCTTGTCAGCTGTGATGAGCGCCGGCATGGTAGGCACCTGCGCGACATTTATATGCAAGTAAACTGCTATATGTGAAGGTGGAGTGACATCAATGGAACCATTTCTCAAAAAGTTCTTCCCAGAAGTGTACACCAGGATGAAATCCGACATGAAAATCAGCAACTATTGCAAATTCGATAGCGAATTGTTGACCTCCTTCACATCCTCACTCTACATAGCTGGCCTTTTAGCTTCCCTTTTTGCCAGTTTGGTCACTAGAGCATATGGCCGCAAGCCTTCCATCCTTGCTGGGGGTGCTGCATTTCTTGCCGGTTCGGCTTTAAACGGTGCAGCTTTGAACATCTACATGCTAATCCTCGGTCGCATCTTGCTTGGTGTTGGTGTTGGTTTTGCTAATCAGGTAGTGTTTTTTGCCCCTAAACCAAATGCAGGTTTTTTCTTGTTACTTTGTTGCATAATCTATTTGTTTTGTGCAGGCTGTTCCTTTGTATCTTTCGGAAATGGCACCAGCAAAACACAGAGGAGCAATTAACAATGGCTTCCAATTTAGTGTCGGCATTGGTGCTCTGTCCGCTAACCTCATCAACTACGGCACTGAAAAGATCAAAGCCGGTTGGGGTTGGCGAATCTCCCTAGCCATGGCGGCAGTCCCTGCCTCAATGCTAACACTTGGTGCATTTTTCCTTCCTGAAACACCAAAACAGTCTCATTCAGCGCAGCACAGACCACCAAAGGGCCAAGCAAATGTTGCAGCGCATCAGAGGCATCGATGATGTAGAAGCAGAGCTTGATGATCTCATCAAAGCAAAC